ATTCCTGGGGTCCTGCCCCAAATGTCCCTCTGTAATTAGGAATAGCTTAAACCTTCATTGAAGGAGAAGCTTCCTCAGTGCTACTCTGCCTTCCTGGAGAAAATCAGTTACTGAAGAGTACCTGAAGTGCAGCATGTTCATACCTCACTTACTTCCAATATAGGTCATCCCACCATTCCTCAAACAAATCCCAAGGTCATCCTGCGCATTCTGTCTGTTCAACAGTATTTCAAAGCATCATGTATCTTTCTGCAGTTAAAGCATTTCATCATGGGAACCCACACTTCTTTTCTTTGATTCTGCCACGAGTTATTTTCAAGACTTGTTTGCAGGTTAATTAACTTTTTGCATATTGGTTACTTAGTCTGTAAAATGCAATATTAGTTCATAAACACTGTGGAGGTGGTCAGATAGTATCATAGTGTCATTACCACTGTCATTCATCTGAGGTTTAGTTTTATTCTGCTTCATCCTGCTGTCTTTGTGAATGCTGCAGGTAGAGCTTCTGGGAGTAGGTGGAAGGAGTCTGCAACTTGTGGGTTGTGGAGTCTCCTTAATTATTCTAATCAAGCAGGAGCCAAAGCCTTAACACTGGAGGTCTTTTGTAAGATGGTGAAATAACAGCAAAAGTAATTTCAGTGTGTCTGGCACAGCTTTTGCTGCTCCTTGAGCTTATGTGACCCTCTCTGAAGAAATAGTACAGGATTGAAAGTCTGGGTAGGCTTCATTGCAAAACTGAAGATGAATTTGTGTGCAAAGGAATTTTACATCTTTTATGTGTTTCCATCTTTGTCTCTAAAAACTCCATTGAAACTTTTCAGATCTATCCGGGGAGGGAAATCTTGTTCATTCTTAGGAAGTCAGTCTGAAAATACACTTCCTAGTGGTAGTCATCCTTCAGGTGTCAATAGCTAGCTTCTGGAAAAGATCTAGGCTGGGTTTATTTATACTAGGTGGCTTATTCAGTAGAATATTCTTCTAGCTTTCTTTATTGAGAAACAGGAGATACATGCCATTACTTTGTTGTCTTGTTGTTGAATATACTACCATCATACTTACGCTTACTGACTGTAAATTGAGAGTGAGTGGTTTAAATTTGCCTTGTAGCATATGGTGTCAGCAGTTGCAGGAACAAAAATGATAAAAGTTAATTTCTGAAGCTGCAATAAAGTGAAGATATTTCTGTAGGATTTATCTCCAAGTGATTTATTCCACTGATTTATTAATGAAATCCCTTTCTAATGCCAGGTGATGTGGTCAGTAATCCAGAACAGAAGCAAGTGGCTGCTCATTTTACTGGCTTTATATTGCAAATACATCTGTTCATGTTATCTCTGAAATGAGCTTTGTTCATGGGTGAATATTATCTTAAAGAGAAAATATTGCATGTTTATCATAGTGAAAGATACTCAAGATGTGGACTGTCCTCTTAAACAGTTGCTTTTGCAAATCCTTCTGTTGGTCAGCACCCCAGACAGGTTAAGGGGCCACCTGTGGGAGTGCTGTGGGGGTTTCACTGGCTGGAAGGGAGGGAGAAGGGAAGGAGAAAGGGTGGAGCATCTTGCACCCCCAGGATATCTCCAGTACCACAGGCTGAGCAGAATGAGATGAACTCCCAGCCTGGTGTGCTCATCACCTTTTGTCTTTGGTCCCTACATACCGTAAAATAACACATTTCTGAGGTTCCTTCTCTCCCACAGTAAGTCCTGTACATGTACAGCTATATACAGTAGCTTCTGAAATATTTTTTTAATGCAGATTTGGCAGTACTGAGAGCACAATTTTCAGTTTATCAGGGATAAATTCAGAAGTTGTGTTCATTTTCTTGACATCTTTTAAAATGTTCAGATGACTTAGCTCTGGACTTTTTGGTCTTTATATAAGTGCTAATTCCTAGGCTTTTAAAAAAAATTAACACATGTTTTAGTTACAGAAATTTACAGTTCCCTAGACACTTTACAAATCTATAGGTGAAGCTTTGACTGAAGCTACAGACTAGGAGGGTGTGTGTACACACACACACACACACACACACACACACTGTTTGGATTGTGCATTACTGTCACATTATGCCCTTTTTAATGTTATGATTTTCAAGTTTTCTGGATGCTAAGGGGCTGTTTGCAGGGAGGCTGTAAATATGTCATTACAAAACAAATCATAGGCTCTCATCCCCTCAAAGCTTCAGCTGAAAGGAGCAAGCACTTTAAGAGGGTTCTTCATCTTTAACAGCTAAACACAACCAAAACTTCTAGTATTTGATTTTAACTTGTACTTCATTCATAGACTTTCAGTACAGCCTTAGTTGTATGGACAAGATGCTGAGCTCTGTAACGTGAGGATTTGTGGGTCTCTGGGTGTTTAGCATAATCAGTATGAGAGTGCTTCTAAATATTAATTGTGTACTTCAGTTCTGCATCTGAATACTTAGAGCTGTGGCTTGCTTGGTTTTTCCTCACAACTTCTGCTGCCTGTCTGAAAATGGATTAAAAATAAGTTATTTCACATTTTCATCAGAACATCATTTGAACAGAATGCTTCTCTTTCATGGTGACGTTTTATTACTCTTGATTTGTCAGTCAGATACCTGGCTATTTCCTTTGTGAGGACATCAGATAACCACAAAAAAAAAAAGCACAGCTGTTGTATTTCTTTAATAAAATAATGTATGTGTAATAGCCTGTGTTTCTTCATTAGAAGAACTGCTAATTCTTTTAATTTTATTTCAGCTTTACTTTTGGAAGCTCAGTCAACGCCGTTTCAAATAACTCCTTCAACCATGGCAAATATTGTGAAAGGCCTGTATACACTACGACCAGGTGAGAAAGAAAAATGTCTCTAGGGCAGTCTCATACTGTGGTTTTGATATGTTTTCCTAAATACCTCTGTTGTTGCTCTCTATCTCTGCACAATTAAACAAACAACTGCGTGTTGTGTTCTGTCCACCCTAAAGCCCTGGTTCTTCTTGTGTCCGTTCTCTGTGACCTGCACAAGGTACCATGTGAATACCAAATTAATGAAAAAACAAACAAACAAACAAAACAACCCAGCCCTGTACATTGGAGACAAAGGGAAGACCTACTTCTTCTGCTGTGTAGAAAAGAAGGAAGGCTGTGTAATGACTCAGGCATGGCAGAAGTTCAGAAGTATTGAAATGGTGAAAGTTTAATGTGAGTTGCCCTCCAAATGGCCAGATCTCTGATGTGAGATGAGTGACTCTTTCCTCTGTGAAGCCATTAGTTGTTGATATTGTTTAATGGAAGAGCTTAATTTAACTCCTCTGTATATCATGGCATCTTGTGCAACAATTATCTTGAAAGAAAGTTGGTGTTGCAGGTTTTAATCAGTTATGCAGCAAGGTCTTTGGTTCTGTAACTTCTGGAGAACTGAGTAGAGCTCTAGTCAGTGTTTAAAAAAGACTTCAGAAACACAAGGAAGTATTCCAAATATTCATAAATAAATAGTACCTGCTTCCCTCCCTTTTACAGTACTGATGCTTTCTTCTTACCTTGGTGTCACTGAGAAGGATTGTGTCTGAGCTTCAGTGTTGTTTTGCTTTGCAATTCCCATTTATAAAATGAGGATGGGAAAGTTTTACAGAAGGACTTAGTGCAATATTTAGCATGTATACAAGTCAGAAATTTGATGGACCCTCCATTTACAAAATGCATGGGTAAAGCACTTGCAGTAAGCAATAGCAAAATTAACATCTTACCATCATTTTTAAGGTAATATTAATTTCATTTTTGCAAGCTGTTCAGGTTTTGTTTGGTTGGTTTTGGTTTTTTTTTTTCTTAGATTCAAGATCCTAAAATGTATTTAAAATAGAACAAAGTAACATTTGTCAGAAAGTAAAACTTTCAGCTAAGAACTCTTCTACATGTTTTGTTGTTGCTTTCCCTCATCTCACAGAATGGGTACAGATGGCACCAGCTTTATTTTCTAAATTCATCCCAAATATTCTACCCCCTGCTGTGGAATCTGAACTTCAGGAATATGCTGCTCAAGACCAGAAGCTTCAAAGAGAGCTTATGCAGAATGGATTTACAAGGTAATAATTACTAATCTTCACTAGCAGTAGTGCTGGGTAGGGCTGAAATGGTAAAAATATTGAAGAAATACTTTAAGAGTTGATAAAGAACCTTTACAACTCAGTGTCTGAAGTATGGCACTATTTTCCACAGCTTTAGAGCACTACCAACCCTACAGATGATACCAAAAAAGCAGATGATCTTAAATCTTGGTATATTTTCCCAAAACAGGTTGTGTACAGTTCGTGCCTTCCTGTGTTTTGGCTGTGCTCCTAAAGCATGATCATGCACTTGTTCAGCCTTTCCTTTGGCCATGCATTTTCTCCAGGCTGATTTTATTCATGATGCTTCTGAAAATGTCAGTTGATAACTTCTTTTTCCATTTTCAGTGCTATTTATACAGTCAAGGTGATTATTTTCAATAGGCGTTTCTCTTCTGAGTATTGAATTGGTGGTGGTGGGGAAATAAGGAACAGCAAAAGAGCAGAGAATTTTCATTATCTGTTCTCTCAGGGCTGTGCCTGTTGCTCAGTGCTCTTCTGTTTAACTGTCTGGATAGGAGCACAGTGCTTTCCCACAGCAGTGGACCATTTTTTTTGCAGTATGTGAAACCCAGATCAGGCTGGGGAATCTATCATGCTGTTCCCTAGAGGATGGTCTCTGCATTAAGAGAATTCCTTTTTCCTCACCTCTGCCACACTGAGCATCTAGTCCTGTGGTTTGTACACCCACTGGAAGTGGTGGGCATGGTTAGTGTTAGATGTGCTCCTGGGTATTTCACAC